TTAATGAACTCAAATCCAGCCCCCGGGTAAGCGTGGTATCCAAGTACGCGCCCGTGGAATTTTTTTCGAGTAAGTCACTAATTGGGGAATTTGAGAAGCTAGATGGCTGAAATCTTGAGAGAATGTTCCCCGTCCAGGTGGGTATTAGTGAGCTCAAACCTAGCCCGTAGGTAAGCGTGGTACCTACGTACGGACCCATGAAGTTTTTTTTTGGGTTACACTGCTAACTCGGGGACCTGAGAAGCTAGAAAACTGGAATTTTGAAGGATGTTTCCTGACGGTTCTGGCGGCTAGTCTGAAATTATTTTAGCTAAAAGCATCTGCCGAAAAAACCACTGCCGTCAGCGACAAAAATCTGCAGGCAACTGTGCAAAAAACGCATCTTCGTACGGGAGCCGGTGCGTTGGCCGTTTATTTTGCATTTGTGCAATGCAGAAGACATAAATTGACGAGAAGTTGTCTGTTTGTATGTGTCGTGCTACTGTGCCGGTTTTTTATCTCGAGACCTACAAAAACTGGAGGGCTGGAACTTTGGGAACTTAATCTATGTGCATGAACGGGTTCCTGTCCCCCAAATGGGTGGTCGTACCTGCGTAGTACTCATGTACGGGCCCCGTGAAAATTTTTTGCAGGTAAGTCCCGAACTCGGGTACCAGAAAAGCTAGAAATCTGAATTTTTAAGGGCACATTCCCCGTCCACTTAGGTGTTAGTGAGCTGAAACCCAGATGCCGGGTATGCGTGGTACACACAACAAGTCCAAGATAGTTTTTTGCAGGTAAGTTCTTAACTCGGAAGCCTGAAAAACTAGAAGACTGGAATTTTAAGGGAAAGTTCTCCGTCCACGTAGGTGTTAATGAGTTCAAATCCATCCCTCAGTTACGCGTCGTTCCTATGTACGGGGTCGTGAATTTTTTTGCGGGTGAATACTAATTCAGGAACCACGAAAGCTAGAAAGCTGAAATTTTAAAAATAGTTTTAATTCTTTTAGCTAAAAGCTTCTGCCGGAAAACCAGTGCTGGTAGCAGCAAAAACTGCGGGAGATTATGCAAAAAACGCATCTTCGCAGCGGCAGTCGCTGCGTTGGTCAGTTATTGAATTCTGTGTTTGGGATGAGAAGAAGCTGGAGCTAGGATGCCGGCCTGGCCGCGGGAACCGCTCCGGGAGCTGAGCAAACCAAGTAACAAGACTCGCTTTATTAGTACAATCACAAAAAAAATATTTGAAAAGAGGACGGAACAAACCCAGGATCAGCCCGGCAGCAGCTCCAAGCTGCCACTGGACACACACGATAGTTTCAAGCGGCAGCAGCTCCAAGCTGCCGTCGCGCACTTCCAAATTACACGAAAGAATACAATTAAACAATAATTCCATTTTCAATCATCACATAAATATCACGGAGGGGGAACTCGAGCCAGGAGACGGAACATATGCATATTAGAAGAAACCGAAGGGCAACTGGGCAAGGCGAAGGGGGCTGAACCTCTAACTTCTCTTCCTTGTTACTCGCTCCTTCTTTCTTTTGCGACACGCCACCGCTCGCTTGAGCTCGGCCCCCGAGCCCCCAATCTTCCTCTTTCTTCCTTTTTCCTCCTTTTTATGCGTTTTTGCCGTGCAGCGCTAGAGCGCTGCAACAGGCAGCAAAAACGCA